TTTATTATTATTTTTATTTTTCCTGATTGGCTGAGAGCGCGGGCGGATACAATTCGAGATCGAACCTGCTGATTAAAGGAGAGAGGAGAGTGGCTTGTTGTAGGCCTGGATACATCAGGCCAAGACATGCTTCACTCCCTCCTAAATTAGGACGTTGAGTCTGAACCGGTTCTTCCCATGCCTCATGGCTGCTTACTCCGTGCACTTGAACAGGCAGTGTGAGAGAGAGGGACTGTGCAGCAGAGAGAGAGTGRGAGAGACTGCAGTGAGAAAGRGAAACTGCAGAGAAATAGAGAGAGTGAGACTGTAGCAAGAGAGGAAGACTGCAAAGAGGGAGAAAGAGAGTCTGCGGTGAGAGAGGAAGACTGCAGAGAGTGTGTGTGTGTGTGTGAGAGAGAGAGAGAGAGAAAGAGAGAGAGAGAGAGAGAGAGAGAGAGAGAGAGAGAGAGAGCTATTGTTGTGGGTCGTTCCTTCTACCGAGATCTGATATGATGATGGATGAACGTCGATTACTCTGGGCTGTTGCCACATATCAAAAATCCGTTTTCACAGCCCTCAAGTTGACCGTTGGGATCTCGAATCTGACTCCACTTTCACATCATGAAGGGTGATCTTGCGTTCAGTTATTTGATGCTCAAGCGGTTTCTGAGCCTGGCAAGGGCAACAAGAGAGCGTCGAGTGTGACTACCCTCTGAGCTATGACAGCCTCTGGATGTTGGTTCGCCTGAAAGAGAGGCTGATTGACTGACCATAACTTGCCGTGAATTATTCTTTTGTTTTTTTCAGAAGCAAGGTTGAATCGCAGTCCCCATGAACCATGTAATTGACGAGACTGCTCAAAATCAATGAACAGGACAATGAGGGATTGAGAGTGCYTAACCCTTGTCATCTTCAAAATGGAATGATTGTGTGATTGGAAAAARATTACGATTTGCTGATTGGTCAAGACAAGCATCGATCAACTAAGGGATATAAGAGAACGACCTTGATGAGAGAAAGAGAGTTCGAACTGGCTTGGGAAAACCAGCGGGAATAGGAGATTTATACAACTATACTGGTCAAACGGGAGAAAGAGTGAACACCAAAAGAGAACCTGGTCATGATTGAGCTCCAGGTGCGTGAAGATGCTCGTACAGATGCAAGCACAGGTGTTCGGGAAGGGATGCTGATTGCCGGACCAGTTTCGTGGTGTTCGGTCATTGGCAGATCAGTCGCCTGCGACCTTCTGGCAGATCAGCTTCGAGCTGCTCGTTGGCATATCAGACACCGTCTGTTCATTGACAGATCTGTTCCCAACAGAAGATTGGCAGAACAGACACCCACTGCTCATTGGCAGATATGTTCCCTTCAGAAGATCAGTCACTTGCCGTTCATTGGCAGATCAGTCGCGTGCCATTGTTGCCAGAACAGCTCCGAGCTTCTCATTGGCAGATGAGACACTCGCCGCTCCTTGGGAGAATTGTTCCCCACTATAGTTCAGACACTCATGCTAAAGTGGGGGCGTGACAGGCAGCGCAAACCCCGACACCCTGCTAGTCGCTGAGGACCTCGGACGTGGGCGCGGCGAGTGACAGGCGCCGTTGCCCTTGGCTTCAGCGACAAGCGGGCGCCCCTCCCCGGGTTTTCCTAACACTGGTGCCGCTTACTGCATGGCATTGCACCACAGACTCACCATAGTCACCCATACACAATGGGACACAGACTGTGACATATGCAATTGGATACGGCCTGTGACGAACACAGCAATACACAGAGAAAGATACATACACGTCGAGAGTGAGACAGACAGAGAGAGAGAAATAGAGAAAGAGGGAAGGGAAAACGTACCCGGGCATACACTCGCAGCCTGCACTAGTGGTGACGTTATATACATTGGACTTCACTAGCAAAGAGAGTCTGTTGCATGAACGCGGCAGTAGAAGGAAGGCCCCGATATACGTGTCGGCTGCAGCAAGGGGTAGGCTTTCATTGTCAACTCAATGCAGTATTCGGATTCCGATTGATATAACATCAGTGCGTCACTACTCTCTTGTCCGAGTAAGACTTTTTGGCTTTCAAAGGGGTCTCACCTTTTGCAATCTGTCCTTCCGTTTTCAACATTGCCCTACGTCATTATTATTATTACTATTATTATTCTGGATTTTTTTATTATTATTATTATTATTATTATTATTATTATTATTATTAACTTGTGTCGTTATTGTGATTAGGCATCATACAGGGCCAAAAACAGAGAAGGAGAGTATGGGGCATTGGAGAGGAAGGAGACGCTATCATGGTGTCCACCTCCTCCATCCTCCTCCATCCTTGCCCTTATGCGGTCCTCTCAGATACATGGCTCCTCGACTTATCGATTAGGGTCTGATCCCCGTTGAGTTAACCCTGACCTCAGCTAACCCTAAGAGCCAGCAATCGATTGCATGAGTTGTATATGACCAATGACAGGGCGATTGCGGGAGCTCTGCCAGAGTTCAGACGGAACTCTGGAGGCAGGGAGCAGTGAGGTATGTGTGTCTCAACATAAACCCTAAACCCTAAACCCTAAACCTATAACCTCAGGGGACTGCCTATGACAATACTGAAGGAGTGAATACTTTGAGTCAGGGATCCTTCAGGGCTAAACCCGGGGACAAGAAGGCAAACAATAATGATTGGGTTAAGGAAAGG